CACAGATACTATAATTCTTATTTGCTTATTTTAGATTTACATTGTTGCATATTTGATATCATTTAGTGATAAATTTTGTGAGGTTACTTCTTGCACACCTAAACCTTTAGTTTTCTTTACTAAGACCAAAAAATTGCATGATACGCTTACTTTTGAGTTTTATCCACTATTTCCCATAAATAACTAAATCCTTTTAAAGGATTATTTAGAAATTGAATTAATCAAGCCCGTCCTAATTACTACTCTTTTTATTTTTTTCACTTTCCTTAATGGAGACGGACGAGGAGATTTGGCATGAAAAGCTTCACGATTGGGAACGTGCCCTTGATCTCTACGATCGCAAACTCGAGGATTGCCGAGTTAAGGACAAGTCGAATCTGATTCTTGGGCGAATGCGTTGCCTTAGGGCGTTGGGCCACTGGTAATAAATTTACAATGATAATGGCTACTTTCTTTTTTCCCCTAGTCCATAATAGAATACTCTTTTTGTCGATTGTAATTTCAGGTACATATTCGCCTAATCGACATTTCCACTATAAATATGATTTAAATGAGGTATGGCTTGTGGGAAAACCTCCACTATCGCACTTAGCAAACTAGGGTGTCGTAATATTATGACAGTTAAGAAAGTCTACTTATTAACGAAAAGCCTTTTCATGTCTTTTTTATCCTTTCTCTCTGTACCATAAGGCAAGCCCTAAATCAAATGGCCCAGGAGCGCTGGGAATCTGCTGATCCTGATCTGCAGCGCCGCATGGCTCCTTTGGCCGCGAGTGCAGCATGTACCTTACGCGCTTGGGACCGCGTCGAGCAGTATGTGCAAGCTATGTCACGTCCAGCTAGCCAATCGAATAATAGGCCTTCCACTAATACTAATGTTCAGCTTACCATCGGTCGCATATCAACCACAGCCTTGCCAGGCTCTCTAATAGTTTCTTCTGGTACTGGTTTATCCGGTATTACAGCTAGTGGTGGGGGAAGTGGAAACAGCCTCTATACTGCAGGGATGGCAGAGGCTACTTCCCAATTAACTTGTGGGTTTGCTGCTAACACCGCTCTAGTTTGTGGGGCTGAATCTAGTCTTGAATGCAGCTACACAACCGGACTCTATCGAGCCATTCTGGCGTTATACAAGGAGCAATACGCTCTTGCACAAGTTGAAGTGGATCGAGCTAGAGACCTGCTAGATACCGAGCTGACTGCAATGGCCAGCGAGAGCTACAATCGTGCTTATCCGGTGGGTTAGCAATTTAAATAAATTATTGCTCACTTTTTTATATTTGTTTTTTGTGATGCTGGGTGCGATAACATTATGATCTTTATTCAAGCCTTCATTTTTTTTTAAAAAACGAAGATTTGGCTGGATCAAAACAGAGCTATATATTTTTTATTTATTTATAAAAACCTAACTCGCTTATTATGATTTAACGACTAATAGGAAGAGAAACTGGTTTTCGATGAATCTCTTGAGATAACATTGTTGAGGGACTTTCATTTAGTATGAAAGTGCATGAAGAAGAGATTCGTAGGTCGATCTCACCAGAAAAGGACGGCAGAATCCCGTTGTACTGCAGCCGTTTGACTTTTATACGACGTTCAGGTTAACGCAGCTCGCAAGGCCTCTTTCCTTGTTTCGGCTAAAAACGGGCTGAGCTTTCGTCCATCATGTGATGGATATTGTCAGGGCTGAATCTCATTCCTGTAAAAGTCTCACGTTGACACTAGGTAAAGAAGACTATCAGGCTCTATCTTACCTCTTATATAGACTCAATTAAGCAAAAGAAAATTAAAAAAGCTAGTTAGATATAGAATGGTTTGACTAATTATGTTTCATACTGGTCGAGCTACTTTTGCTCGAGTGTATGTGTGTGTTAACGTCTATACGCAATACCGGTCCTAAATCAGAGTGATCGAAAGGCTAATGTCAGGCTTTGATCATCAAGGCCTAATGACCCAAGAGAAAGCCCTGAACGAGACTGCGTAAGTCCGTAAGCAAATATGGTTGAGATAATGCGATATAAGCTTGCTAGCATGTAAGTCAAGTTATGAAGCCATTTGTCTCCACCTCTTAGTCTAGAGTCATTGACATTTAACAACTCGAGGAAGAACATTATTAGGACTGCGTAATTTGGCACGTCTGGTTTGCTTGATGAGCTTAATCTAACATGTTGGACCAATATGAAGGATAATTAGCCAAGCACTTCTATATCTCTAAATTTTTAATTTTATTTTGCTCAATTGAGTTTATATAAGAGGTAAGATAGAGCCGGATAGTCTTCTTTCCCTAGTATTACCGTGAGACTTTTACAAGAATGTGATCCAGCTCTGATGATGTTCATCATTTGATGGGCGAAAACTCAGCCAGTTTTTACCCGAAACGAGGGGAGAAGTCTCGTGGACTGCGTCAATTGGAACATCGTATAAAAGCCAAACGGCTGCATCACAACGGGATTCAGCCCTCCTCTTCTGGTGAGATCGACCTACGAATCTCTTCTTCGTACACTTTCATACGAAATGAACGTCCCCCCTCTAATAACGACCGATAGTTGAGTTTTCCAAAACTATGACAAAGTCCAACAATGTCATTGAATTTTACTTAGGACGGTCTCCTGAAAGATTATCTTAATTCTGGCGTACTGTAGATTCGAATTTACCTTGATGTCATCAGCCTCCAGTATGTGATACCGAGTCGTGAGTATTTTGCTGTCGTTGCCACTTCGCTACGGAACTGAGTGTTCAAGCGGGTTATCGGAAAGATGTTACATTCAAAGCAGCCATATCCTCTTCTAAACAACTTTTATTGTGTGATTGCAAATTTAGCAACGATGTAAATAGCTTTCAAGACTATCAGTAATTCTTCAATAAGAAGTTTGTCACTAGATCATTTAGTTGGATTTAAGGATTGTTAGTTAAGCCTTTTCACAATGAAATGGATTTGCCTCAGGATACCACTTAATTTTACTTTGCCTTGCCTCTCAACTGGCTATCTCACCTAGGTTGGACGACAGTTTCTACCTCTTTCCTTTATTGGGATTCGATACAGGGTCGTGGATATCGTAGTGACGTTACTACTCCATTATACATCCACGGGCACCAGTTGGTCACCTGAAAGCAAGGGATGTTCTATATTTTAATGGTAAATACATGTTTGATTAATCGGCAATCTCACCTCTTAATGTGATTTAGAAGGGGCTTGGCTTACCTTGAGTGTTAACACTTGACTTTATCTATATTGGAACACTGGGCCGAAAAAATGTTCTCATCACATCTACCACTGCTACTATAATTTATATGGTTGCTATTTCCGTAATTAAGATCATCATCTTTTGCACCACCATTTTTCGACTCTCATTATAACTACTTCGGCCTACGCAACCGCCACATTAGATCCACTATTAACGTCAACGTGATCTAAAATAGCATTCTTAATTTTTGATTCTTCGTATCTTGGAGCTCCTTTTTTCTAAGCATTTTCTTCTCGCTCATTTTCCTCGTTTTCCAGGATCTCGTTGGTGCCCAGATGCTCTCGGAAGTTGAGGAGCTAGTCCAATATAAGCTGCGTCCTGAGCGTCGGCCAATTCTTCGGGCCGCCTGGCATCGTCGGCTTCTCGGCTGTCAAGCTAATCCTGAGGATTGGGCTGAGCTGATCCAGCTACGTAGTCTAGTCTTGCGTCCTAGTGAAAATACTAAGACATGGCTTCGCTATGCTGGACTATGTAGAAAATCGGGCCGACTGGTAGATACTCAATTGAGAAATTTTAGCTTGAGATAGAGAGCAGACACCTCGAATTTTTGCTTTTCGCATAGTATTCATAGCGTTCTAGCTATTTTCCTAGATAATACCTTTTGCTTATATTTCTAAGCGATATAAACGGTCTAAGTTCACCTTATATTTATACTTATGTATACTCACACCTTATGCTCACCTATGGGCACAACCTATACGCTTCACTATTGCCAATTTAGCCAGGCATTTAAAATGTCATGGTCAATGCCAACTTTGGAAATATTTTACTTAATATTATTCAGTATAGGGATTTATTTCATCTCCGCCTTGCGGTAATACTATCTAATTAACTTCTTTCATGCTTTTACTATCTGTCTTGTCCCCATATAAATCTTCGTTATTTTATTGTAGATATGAAGACCAAGATGGTGTGGCCTTCTGTTTGTTATTTTATTGATTATATACCTGCCTACCTAGTTAGTGCATCTTTATGTTTCTTCCAGGCTCTTACGCGACAGATAACTGATAATCTAATTCGAGGGAGTGCCAACTTTGGATTGACGGAAGTTTCTGAATCAGCATCGCAAATTGTTTCCGCTGTTGATACCTCTCTAGCCTACCACCGTTCAGTTCCCACCCACCTGGTTAATCATCTACAAGTAAGTTTGCTTACCAGCCAGCAACTAGCTCAGCACTTCCATTTGAGACGTATTTCTATAATTTTATTTAGAATATTGGTCATTTTAACTGCCTTATAGCTAAATCCACTTATCTTCGAGCGATTACATCCCTCAAATTAGACACCTCTCTGAAAAACATGGCTTTGAATTTTCGTATCTTTTTATTGAGTTCCATCTCTTTGTGTTGCTTTGACCTTATTTAGGTAACTTCGACGGAACGGCACGAAGACCTTGTGGAATACGTTCAGTACCGCGTCATCTACTATGATAATTTCCAGCATCGAACTGTTGACTTAGTACATTCCCAGACGTTTATGACCGCATCGAAATCAGCATCGTAATTGAGAGTCGTCACCCTTAGCATAAAGTTAGAGCTTATCAAGGCGACAAGAAAGGTCATTCTTATTGACCAATTTTCTATTTGTTCGTCGTGGCTTCCGCCCAAAGTCATGGCTCTTAGCGCTGTATCTATATCCCTCAATCCTACTGGATTTTTATTACTTATCACTTTGATAAGCTGTAACTTTGTGCTGAGGATGGTGCTTTTCACTGCAATGCCGGCGAAACGTCTGGTTATGTGTCAAGTTATCCATACTGTGGCTAAATTTAAGGCCACACCATCTTGGTCTTGATATATAAGCTTCTGAACTTTAATCTATTTGATTGAGAAGATTTGTTGCATTCTTTCTCAATTTAGCCAACCTCTAATTATTTATTCGGTACCCTCTGTTGAAACAGTTTCTTTCAGGTTAAGCAAACCGTTTTAAATATTCTAAAATTTTTCGCCGTATAAGACAAATGGGGACTTCTCAGAGTACTCGTTTCCTGGGCTTAAATTCTAATTACCACATCTTATTCTCTTAACCGACAGACTTTTGCGAATATTTCTTAACCTCTTCTTTTTAACTCCAAGCTGTTTAATAAATGATATGCTTTTCATGCTTTACTATATTATACAAAATTGGCGAACTAAGTCTTTGTATAATGATTAAGAACACCGGTCTTACATGTGAACACAGCGTATTTAACGATGAGTCTTCCCAGAAGTCATACCTGATACGAGCATAAGTGTGTCCTTACGATGAGCGACTGATCAATCCGATCGCTCAGAATCTGGAAAAATTTTACTTTCTCCTCTTTGTTGACAACGTCACTTTCGGACAAATAGATCTCTTTCCTCTGATGCTTCAAGTTATTAGATATATAGTTTAATAACTTACTAGCGCTCACAGAAACCTAACTATTCATGATCGCAATAAAAGTAGGACAAATTGCGTTTAAGATCAGGCATGAGAAACTATGTAATTCAGAATATTCTAGCAAGTACTTCACGAATCAAGGCATTGATAAACAGTCCTCCATAAATAAGCAAAATATGCTAATGCATTTAAAGACTTTTCTTAATCTTAACAAGGCTCCTTAGTTTATTGTAGATCGATCTATAAAAGAAAGATACTTAGCTTTTTCGGAAACCAAATTAAATGGAGAAAAGAGTTCTCACCTAGCTAGACCCGCTTTCGTTTTGCTCTTAAGTGTATGAGGAATACGAAGAGAAACTTGATTTCGATGAATTTCCTGAGATAACATTGTTAGGGGGACCTTCATTTCGTATGAAACTGCATGAAGAAGAGATTCGTTGGTCGATTTCACTAGATGAGGACGGATGAATCTCGTTTTACTGCAGCCGTCTGGCTTTTATACGATATTCATTTTGACGCAGTTCACAAGACTTCCTCCCTCGTTTCGGGTGAAAACGTGCTGAGCTTTCTTCTATCATATGATGGACATCATCAGAGCTGGATTTCATTCTTGTAAGAGTCTCCAGTTAACACTCGGGCAAGAAGACTGCCCGGCTTTGTCTTACCTCTTATATAGACTCAGTTAGGCCAAAATCTAGATCGGTATAGAGGGGTTTGGCTAAATATCTTTCATACTGGTCCTGCAACTTTTGCTCGAGTGTGTGCGTGTGTGTGTGCTAGCTTTTATACGCAATACCGGTCCTAAATCAGAGTTATTAAAAGGTTAATGTTAGGCTCTGATCATCAAGGCCTAATGACCTCAAAGAAAGCCCTGACCGAGACTGCTTAAGTCCGTAAGTCAGGCTGGTTTAGATCATGAGATGTAAATTTGTAAGCATTTACGTCACATATGTAGAAAAATTTTATTTAAATGACACTGACACATGTCTTTATTGAGAGATCCTACAGAAAGACTTAATTGTTGAACTTACCTTCATTTCGAGTGAAAGTGTTGGTTGAAGAGATGCGAAGGTCGATTCCATCAGACGACGACGCCGGATTCCTTTTAATCAGCTGTCGATTGGTTTTACTGGAACATTCATGTTGATGCTGTTTCCTAAGTAATCTTCGATTTCGGTGAAAAGGTGCTAATCTTTCGTCCGTCATATGACAAACATCATTAGAGCAAGGTATCATCATCACAACAAAATTGAAGCTAACGAGCCAAGAAAATTCAAGGAAGCCCAGGCCTTTTCCCATATCACATTATTTGATGGGATTATTAATGAAGCAAACGTATTTTTGCTACGCTACTCTACTCATATCATTGTGGGAAAATTCTATTACCAGTCCTCCATCAACTTGAACAAAATAGGCTGAAAACATCTCATAAGAAAAGGCTAGTTGTGCCACCTGCTTTTTGAAAGCGGACAAACACCCACTCTATCCTTGAGTCTATTAATTAAACACAAGTAATTTTTACTTATCTTTTTGTCGGTATTCCTTACATTCAATGTGTTTTTTATTCGGTTTATTTGGCTGGCTTTTCTAGTTTTACGTTTAGCCGCAAGCATATCATAATCAGCAAAGCGACTAGTTTGCGACCATTCAATCTCGTGTCTCGTTTCTGCCCAGTGCTCAGCAAGCTCTGTATTTTGAACCCAACAGCCTTTGCAGGCGCTTTTGTGCTCAGCCACCCTGTGTCGAATTGGACAACAAGTCACTTCAACATAAAAGCGACCACATGAACACATTATCTGTTTGCAACCCGATCTGGATAATGGGTCAACTTTCTAAAAATGGGGATAACTGAATAAAGTGTCCTAGTTTCCATGAAAACCGTTTTATTCTCCACTTCCTTATTTGTTAACCTGTTGATTTAGAGAGAATGCACGAAGGTAAAGTCAAAACATAAGAAAAGGTTTTATTATCTCTTCTTACGTATTCACCATTCAAAAAGCTATTCTTTATTAATCTAATGAAATTTTCAATCAGACCTAGTGGACAATTATTGTCAAGAAATATTATTTTAAGCCGATCCAGTTCATTGTCACAATGGTCTCTATCGGCTACTCTTATACTCCGGATAATAATAGATTTTAAAATACTAATCTTTGTCTAATAACTATGGTTTGAGTCGAAATTAAGAAAAAAGCCAGCATGTGTTGGCTTTCTATACACATCACTGCTTAACTTCTCACCTGCTCTGATCACTAAGACATATAAAAAGGGTAAATTATTCCCTTTATCAATCTCCATTGTCAATTTAACATTGCAGTCAATCTGGTTAATTAAAAACAAGAAATTATCTAAACTATCCTTGCCATATGGCAAAGTAGTCATCCAATCTATCTAACAGTTTAGGTGTCAATACTATCTCTTCCATGCAGTGTTCTTCCATTCTTGTCATGTAATTATTAGCTAAAAGCCAATCAACAGCTGGTTAATTGGAATCCGTCGTCGAATCGACCTTCGAATCTCTTCACCGAACACTTTCCCTCGAAATGGTAGTAACAGTATATTCCTCGAACTCAAGACTTTCTACTTTTCACTTATTTTCACTTTTATCTATTTTTTATTTAAAGCTACTGAATGCTAGTTTTTCAATTGCTAAAATTCTTTGGTTCCCTCTTGTTCCCTTCCAATAATCTTAACTAAAAATTCAGCAATTTATTAGCGAAACCTTATGTTAAATCAGGCTTATAGAGTGATTGATATCATGTAATAATTCATTAGGACTTATTTTCAACATATGTTTGCCTCGATAATGTCATAAATTCTTTAACAAGAACTTAGCCTCCATAGGTCACTTTAGATTATTTAAGTTATGTTACTTATATTTTTGTGATGACCTGGCCTCATCAGCGCTCCCAACAGGATTCGATACCGGATCGTGAGTATCCTAGTGACGTTTAAGTCCCAATACGCCAAAGCTGAGGCCTGGATTGTCTGAAATGTCATATCTGCCCTGCGACTCACTAGCACCCGTGACCATGTTTCAGAGCGGTAATTTCTCCACAATACGACACGATTTCGAGTCCCGTCTGAGTTGCTGATGGTACTTAGACGGAGTACAAACTCCAATCAATTCTGAATGAAATAATTTCTTGCAAGTCAGGGATAAGTG